TTGCGGTTATTCCAGAGTACGGTACAAAAAATTCAGATTTACTTGATTATGGATGTTCTTTTCCTGGGTATGCAATTTGAAAAAAATTTACTTCTTATCATGTAATGGTAATACCGTTAGAATGGCTAACAATACGGTAAACAAAGTTGTTGGACGGTTCGGTTTCGCATGCTTGATGGCGTCCAAATAATAAGGAAAATGGTGCACCAAGTGTGAAAATTTTTGGCCAGAAGCAAGGGCAACAGCAAATGATTGACAAGGTAATTTTGGGGAAGGAAACAGAAAAAAATGAGGAAAAAATGGAGGGTTTCTTTTGCATAAAATTTGGTTACTATTTTTGAAAGGGCACCCGAATGAAGGGGTGCAAACACAGATTTTTTTCACATTGATAGAAGGGGGTGATCGTTGGGATTTCCTATTTATCTGATAAAATAATTAATGGTTTATTTTATTTTTTTGGAAAATATGAACTTGTTGGTCTTCGCGACAGAAAATTCTTGGGTACATGGCTACTACTTAGGGCCGGCCCTAAGATTTAGGAGGCTTAAGGCGAGCTTAAAAAATGGGGCCCTCTTACATTGAAAAAAAAAATTCATAAATAAAACGATGAGTTATAACTTTTTATTTGTTTGTAGTCATAAAAAAATTTACGTGCACATATAATTATTAAAATTATAATTAAAAATTTACTTTCATATATTAAGATAGGAATCAATCATTGCAAATATTTTAAAAAAATAAAAATCTAGTATTGTTGGTTTTTTTTAGCCCCATGTTTTATCGGGCCTATAGTATTTGAGCCTATTTTTTTTTTTTTTTAATATCTTAAACACAAAATTATATTTGGAGCCCATATTTTTAGGCCCTAGTAGGAGAGCCCAAGGTGCAAGCCTCTCTTGTCTGCCCTCAGGACTGACTTAAAAAGACATTGCAGAATTATTGAGGTACACAGTGGTTTCTAGATATAGGTCTTTATTATCTATAATTAGCACATTATTTGTGCACATTGGAAGTGGTGGTCTGCTGGGTTCAAGATTCCACCAAATGAATTTATTTTATTTGCTTCCATTGTTTGGGTGGAATTTATTCCCAACAAAAAGTAGTGTGGTATAAAGACAATTTCAATGCATGAACCTCCTGCCGCTAAAAGATGTATAAAGGGTTAGATATATACAATGTTACCTTAATATGAACAAGAAATGTCTTAGCCACACACTTCAAAGATGAACAAGAAATGTGACTTTTAGGATGGTCATAGTGCTCCTAAACAAAACAAGCTTAGTTCATAGATGACAAATGCATCACTTTTGAGACAAAATTGTAATGTTTTAATGTCCTTACCAAATGATTCATGCCACACTTTGTTTATGCCACCACCATAGCTTTATACAGCAAAAAGTAAATGATTAAATATATTTAATCAAAAAAATCTTTTAAATATTTGTCATAAATATGATATATGCATATTACATATATATTTTCTACATAAGGATTAAATTAAAAAAATTTAGAAGATGAAAGAATATATTATATCAATTTTTACTCTCACGAGAGATAAAATAAAAAACGGTGATAATTGAGGGGTAGTATAATATGCTCTAATTATTAGATAAATAGAATTGGGGCATTTTCTTTAGAAAAATGATATACGTCCCAAATTTTTTATCAAATATTTCACATGGTTGTGAGGTTCACAATTTATTTTATAAAAAATTAATATCCCTAACATTACATTTTTCTGTGTCTCCTTTGGTGGTGTCAGCATTTAATTTCTTATCTTCTCAATAATTTGTATGCTTTGATCGATTGACCACAAGATCACAAGTTGCAAGAAAGAAAAATATAATATAATATCTTACAACAATCAACAATGGCCTTTAAAGGATTTCATTTCATATTGTTCTCTCTCTGAATCGGACATCTTTGTGTTTTATTATGCAAGAATTAGTTGAAATGTAGGACCAAGATGTGTGGATTCTTTGAGCATTGCTATTTAAGGTCAAAAATTAGATTTAACACTTTCTCTCATATATTATCTAATCATCAAATAATCATATCACTTATACATATCATTAGATTTAGAAAATAGTCTAAAAAGTGAGTTTATATGTCAATTGAACTCGTTAGTTCAGACCTCCAAGTGGAGAATCTCAAATCGGGATTTGAGATTTCCTTTCCTTATTCTCGTCCTCTTCCCCAAACTACACAAAATTATAAAAGATATTCTAAGAATAAGACGTGTCAAAACACAACACACGTGTCTCTAACGTGTCTTACTAAAATGTAATAACTAAAAGAATTGACACACCACGTGGCGTGTCAAACATACAGACATGCATGCATGTCCCCATTATGTGAGACATAGACACAACACCCATCTTAGAGTATTGGTACTTCTTAGCACCAAACCTCTAGGGTCAGTCAACCAAGCTAAGCATTTAAATTCGAGAATTGTAATTTCCATCCCCCTTTCACTATAAAAATATATTTATATATATAATCTTGTTATATGTATGGGCTAATTCTATGGAGCTGAATCACAAAAGTTAGGGAATGGAATGTTCCACAACAAAGGATCAAGAAAGGAAGAATTAAATGAGGTTTTGTAACTTGGTAAAATGTAAAAGCTATATAGTAATGTATTGTTCTCTCACCTAAAAAGGATAAACCGACAACTTCAAATAAATTTTGAATTAGATCATTACTCTATGAAATTTTAGATGTCACATACACACCATTTATGAAAAGTAGTTTCGATTAAAGACCGTTTCAATACATGAGAATTAATGTCATCTCAACATAAAGAGAGACTATTACCGTAATTTCAATTTCAACAGATTTCATGATATCTTAATCACCCACTTCAAAGATGAACAAGAAATATGATTTTTAGGGATGGTCATAGTGCTCCTAAACAAAACTCAAGCTTACCTCATGGATGACAAATGCACAACTTTTGAGACAAAATTGTAATGTTTTAATGTCCTTCTCAAATGATTCAAGCCACACTTTGTATATGCCACCACAATAGCTTTATACAGCAAAAAAGAACATGATTAGATATATTTAACCAAAAATAATCTTTTATGAGAATTTTCAAAGATTTGATGTGTTAGTTAATTACAAGTGAGTTAGGCCAAAAGTTATTTCTCCAGCCTGCATAGCCCTTTGTTTGGGATTAAATCCCATAATTTCGATTTCTATAATATACAAAAATAACAAAGAATGGAACTTTAAGAGACAAAATTCAAAGTTGGTTTGATACTCTTAAAGGCGATTAAAGTTAGTTAAAGATTAAATGTGTTCACATTCGTTTTTGTGTTCTAAAAAAACAAAAGAAAAAAAGAAAAAAAAAATTTACTGTCTCCTAACATGTGGTTTCGTGTGCACATAATTATTGGCCAAGTCAAAAGCAAGGTAGTGAAAAAGTGTTCCAACTATCTCCTCTTGATCATATCTTATAATTAAAAAATTGCTAAATTAAGGTCACTAAACTTATTTAATTTATGGGTAGTGTTGGGAAAATGCTTTTGTCACCAGTTTTGATCTAAATTTTATATATTTAACATACAGTGAGTTTAGGCCCCCTTGTCTAGGGTTATTTTCCAAATGATGACATGAATTCAATCCAAGTGTTGGCTCAATAATTGAGTGTGAAAAGTACTCTAAGCTTAACACAAAAAAAAAAAAAAAAAAAAAAATAATCACCTCCAAATCTCTATCAACAAGGTCATTAAGTGAGGCAAGTTCTGGGAAAATTAGTTTTCAATATGGTAGTTAAGACTGGGGATTAAGGATATTTCATATAGCCATATCTTCTATCATGTTCGGGAACGATTATCATTTGCAGTTCAAATTTCACATATGTACATCACTACTATGGGACCACTCACTATATTTTAGTAAAATTATAAATATCTTATTTTCTAAACACGTAGCATGTAATTAGTAAGATATATATGATAACTGAATCACTATATCACTATTTGTGACAATTAAAAAAAATAAAAAGTGCAATTTGGTGTGTCTTTTTCTTTTCATGGATTGGGTCTCAATCATTTTTTTCAAGATTTGAAAATATTTTCAAATCCTGAAAAAATCGACCAGACCAAACCAAACCAATCCGTTAAAATCGACCGAACCAAACCGATCCACTACATTTTGGGCGGATGTATGATGACAAACGGACGATTGTGGATTAATTTTTTCCAATCCATCTAGTTTTGGACGGATGTCGGATTTGAGATTCCACTGACCGCAACCGAATTACCAAACCGCGGGCACCCATAGTAATTTGTAAGATTTTGTGTTTTCAATTTGTTTAGATATTCTGTTTTTATTTTCAATTGACACTACAAGAAAACCGACATATAGTGACGTTTTTTTATGGCGTTTTCAAAAACGTCGTGAAATCTGTCCAGATTTTTTAAATTTAAAAAAAATTAAACTAAACCATCTCGTTTTGTGGGCCGGTTATTTCCTTTAAACAGTGGCTCAACTCAAGGCTACGTCTTCTATTCTGATCGAACAGAGGCATGACTTTAGGAAGAGAGATAAATCGAGGCGTTGGATCTTCGAGGCATCGGATCTTCGATCTCTTCGATCTCCATCAATTCTTCGGTTGTTTGATCTGAAAAATGTTGTTCTACTGTTGATTTGAGCATATATCTTCCTGATTGTTCGAATCCCTATGGTCTAAATCGATCTAGGGCTCAAGGTTAGGTTTTCTAGAGCGTATATCTTCCAGATTGTTTGAATCCCTATGATCTAAATCGATCTAGGGCTCAAGGTTAGGGTTTTCTGATATAGATTTGCCACATTCACACAAGATCTATAAAATTTCATGGCTAAATCTAACGATTTGGAATTGTTTTCTCTCGATTTAGTTGATTTCCAGCTTTTTTTGCTTTTGTTTTGTGTTTTCTCCTTTCATTTTTGTTGCTTTACTCTTTCTAGTCCTTGTGTGGAAAACTCTTCTCTTTCATCAGATTGAGCAGCAACAATGGTGAATCGATTTATCTAGGGTTTCGAGTACGATGTTAGTGTCTCTGATCATGTACGGGACAAGCAGGTGGCGTTGGATGTGGATCGTTGGAAACAGTGAGTAGAAGCTCAACGATGCAGAGAAAAATTGTGTATTGAAGGTGGAAGCAACGGTGGGCTTCTTATTGGGGCTTGCATTAATCAGGTATAGCGGTGTTGATTCATTTTCTTGGTGGCATTTTTTGGGTTTATTCATTTGTCATAATACATCGTGTCTATAAACTAAATTGTAAAAATTTGTGGTTACAGAGACCTAATCTTTTTGGTTGTGCTCTTGCTCATGTTGGTGTTATGGATATGCTTAGATTTCACAAATTCACTATAGGTCAGCCAGCAATCTGTGGGTTCACTTGGTTGATTTATTTTAGTATCACTTGTTGATTTTTAGGTTTCTTTTCTAGGTCATAGATGGACATGTGACTTTGGCTGCTCAGAGGAGGAAGAGTTCCATTGGCTTATCAGGTGAGTGAATTTATTTTCATTGAATTATCTGCCTGTATAATGTTCTTACTTTGAAATTATAATTTTTTAGATATTTTTTTGGTTTGATATAAAATATGTTAGTTAATCTCGAGTAAGTTATTTACTTCTGTTATTGTTTGGCGTTCACCTCTTAATCACAAATTATTCCTCATTTCCAACTTTCAAATTACATTTTAGTAATACTAAAATGCAGTTGACTTGCATACTTTGTTAAATGAAAAATATGTTCTATGGTAGTATTTAAGTATCTGTTTTTTTTTTTTTTTGGCAAGTCTTGAGTAAACTCATTCAGTTCTGTGTCTTAGTGTGTGGCTCTTAATGACTGTTATTTATTGGTTCAACTTTCACTGAAGTTAATGGAGAATCATAGACCAATTTCCCGTGCTTGTTTATCCATCATCAGTTAGCAAGTAGTCAGTTCTCGTTTGATTTTTGAGCTGGGTTGCTTTTTCTTTTAGCTTTTCATCACTCGTAAGTTTTCAGCAGACGGGTAGTTGGGTAACTATTTTATCATTTTGAATATTTGCCATTGTTAAATTTCTCTTCAGGTGCTCGCCACTGCATAATGTTAGCAGACCATGGGAACAATCCTCTGATCAGTTTTCTCAGTACCCAGCTACCATGTTATTGACAGCTGATCATGATGATCGGGTTGTGCCATTACACTCATTAAAGTTATTAGCGGTGAGTCTTTAATTGCTACAATTATGTTTTACTTCCTATGTTATTTGCTTTGATTTGCCCTGCATCTGAAGATTGAATTGTCTAGTTTCTTGCTCAAGTTTTGTCAATGAGGTTCACCTCTTAAATGTTATAATATTTATCCACCTTCTTGTCAGGACATAAGAAGATAATAAATTGAATGGCTTAATCACAATATATGATTATCCTCGTGTGTATATATATATACTGAATTGAGGAGGTTACAATTTAGGAAGGTAGAATAACAATAAAATCAAATATAAGGAAATATGCCTAAAATCCCATAATCACACAATATACCGGATTCACACAATATACAGGATTCGTATATTCCAACAAGGACCGTCTAGGTTAGATCTGTGTGAGGTTCTATGATTGAATTGATTATATTAAATTATATTGTGTGGAAATAACTGAATAAAGTTCTATATTTATATCTACAAAAATTATATACTTTAGGAATTGTCTATATTGAGTTCCAGTAAAGCATATGTAAAAACTCTATCATAGAACTTACATTCAGCAAAAAGAAATCTAGTAGTCTTATCAAAGTAAGGAATGATGGTCTTTTATTACAAGGGAAATTGGAATAATATAAATTGAAGTTTTATTTTTGGTACAAATGATAAAAGTGCACATTAAACATTTTTTTTTTGTTGTTTTTTTCACACTACTTATCTTAGGAACTATTTTTTATAATTTAACCCCTAACTATTACTTTTCACTTTTTAAATTCTCATGTAATTTAACAGCACAATATTAAATGCTATTAAATGAAATTATGAAATGGATGTTATACATGTGCATTATTCTATTTATGTATTTGGTTGTTTCCAGGTAATTAAGAACCAATCTGACCTCATTGATAAAAGACGAGTGTTTTACTCAGACATAAGAGATGACAATCCATTGAATTCCATTGTGTCAAAAGTGAAAATTGTGCAACTTGCGGCAAAAGTATGACCATCACTTACTTCTGGCTACTGATATCTTTGTCTGTTTTTTTTATTCTTATGATTATTTTTGTCTCTGTTTGTGTGTGTGTGTTTCTAAAACTCTGTTCCTGTTTATTGCTTTCCAAGTTTCTGAAATGTTTTCTCTGTGAAACAGGCTGACTTGGCTGAAAAAGAGAATACTTTTGTCTTCAGACTTGTATTATGATATGGCATATTCATTGCCACACTTTTTGTTTACAACTCTAGATACAGCTACAGGTTAGTATGTTTATCCAAGGACTACAATCATTTTTTAAAATGAATTCTTCTAATAGATGTTGTCTGCTTCAGCAAATCCAGAAAACTTAAAGATGGATAGTGATGCATCCTCAATAAGTGAAGCTAGTTCAAATAGTGCACTAGGAGACACTGACGCTGCAAAGTCTTCCCAAGTTTCTAGATGTCAAGAGTATCGGATGACTTTACTAGATTTATACTCTGGATGTGGAGCCATGTCAACTGGTCTCTGCCTTGGAGCATCCGTATCTGGTTTGAAACTGGTTACTGTAAGTCATGAAGTGATTGTAAATGTGATTTTTGTAAAACTTGTTCTTCTATGCACTCTTCCATGCAAAGGCTTATATATGTTTTATTTGTATTTGTTTATTAGAGGTGGGCTGTGGATATAAATTCTAATGCATGCGAAAGTCTAAAGTTGAACCATCCTGAAACTGAGGTAGTATATTTGTTCCCTTTCCTTTACTTTTTTTATTAGTAATTTATATATATATATATATATATATTTATCAAGGACAAGTCCAAAATGATTATAGGTGAGAAATGAAGCAGCAGAAGATTTCCTATCTTTGCTTAAGGAGTGGGAAAAGCTTTGTAAAGAATTTCAATTGTTGGGTTCCCATCAATCAGAAGATTCCAATTCTGAACAAAACAGCTTGGACAGTGATGATGATGTTGATGATGGCTCTAAGGTTCCTTCTGGAGAGTTCGAAGTGGGAAAATTACTGGCCATTTGTTATGGTGACCCAAACAGTGTCAACAAACATGGGCTGTATTTTAAGGTATATAGACTTTAACCAAGAATGACCTATGAATGTCTTCCAATGTGATTGCTTGCTTTCATGGATTTTGTTGCCTCACCAACTTAATTGATCAAAACAGATGCTTATTTTGATGAACAAATTGGTCACCTTTTGTAGTTCAAAAAGTAATAAACACTTAACATCTGAAGGAAAGAAGGAAGAAAGCTAGTTCACATGTCTCCGTTGTCCCTTGAAAATAAATTAATTAAATAAAGGGACACGGCACGTGGCGTGTTCCATACATGTCTTCATCATGTCCTTGTGTCCGACACTCCTATGACACTTGTTTTGTAGTGTTGATGCCTCGTAGTCTTGTAGTTTGATAGAAATTCATACCAAAAAAACTTGTGTTGGTGTCACATTTGGAACAAGAAGACGCATCAAATGATATCACAACATGTGGCTAATTATTATAACGTCACACAACATTTGGAAATGGTTTGCTCTTGATAAAATACTTACCTATGCGGTAATTGGGTCTTAAGGGGTATATTGGGTTATTAAAGAGTTAATGGGCCAAAACTGGTATTGAGATACAAGCCCAATTAACATTCGACATTCAGTTCATTATAGGTACTTGGGACCCCCCATTCACCCAGCCCCCTTCTGCATAATTGTGTTAGATGTGTCTTTTCAGCTGATCTTCTTTAATTAGCTCATTGCTGAGGTCTTGAAAGTATATAACTCAATGATTTTTTCCTTGTGCTGATTACAGGACAGCTCGCTCGGGAACTTTACGAGAACATTAGGAGAGAAGCTTCTTGTCTGAGAATTTATAGAGATTTTCGTATGCATCTTGCTAGGAAAGCTTATAAAGAATTGTGCTCCTCTGCTATTTCTATTCAGGCTGGCATGCGTGGAATGGTTGCACGTGATGAGCATCGTTTCAGAAGGCAGATTGCTTTTTATGGAAAGCTTTCATTGTTGTATTCTCTTAGACTACTTGACTACATGAATTGTGCATTTGGATGTATTAGTAGGAACTCCAATGATTTCTTTCTACACTAGTTTCTGTACAATTGAGTTCTTTAAAATTACCATATTATAGGCATTTATAATAATGTTTTTCTTTTATAGAGTAGTTTGAAAATTGTCTCAGAATCTCTGAATACTTTTTGATGGGTTTAAAATTAGCATAATTTACAAAAAAAAAAAAAAAAATATGAAAAAGGATATCACGGCGTTTTTTAAAACGCCACTTAAACCCTAAATCTAACGGTCATTTGTTTTAAAAAGATATGATGGCGTTTTAAAAACGTCGCTAAATATCACAGTGACGTCATAATACTATTATTTAGGACATTTGGCAGCGTTTTTAAAAACGCCGCTTATACTAATATCACGACGTTTTTAAAATGCCACAAAGCTATAGCGACGGCCGCGTCCTCGACGTTTGGTGCTAAGCGTCGCAAAAAGAATTTGCGGCGTTTTTGACACTTATAGCGGCGTTTTTTAAACGCCACTAAAAATCTGTTTTCCAGCAGTGTGAAAAAGAGTTTAAATATTCTGTTAAAAAAGAGTTTTCAACTTGAATATATTTTTTGAATTGAAAAAAATAAATGTATTATTTATCTAATTTTTTTTTTATTTTTAAATTTAACTCTAAAAATAATAAATAAAAAAGATAATATATGCTGGTTGGTTTTATTTTCAAAAACAGATATAGATATAACAATAAAGAGACATACAATCTCTACTACTGCTCTGTTTATGGTTTTGGTGGTTTGAATTGTTTTTATATTTTGAGAACGACAGATTGTAATACTTTAGGTGGACGAGGCATACTGTAATTGTAATATGTGGATGACACATGTAGTGATTGTAATATTTTAAAATTTCAAAATTTCTTTCTTTGAATGAGACATGCAGTGATTGTAATATTTTTTTAAGTCATTGACGGTAATATATATATATATATTTCGAAGAAGTGCACAAGTTTAATTATGTTGAAAATTTATAAAATTTTAAACAGTTAAATCGATTCACATCCATCCGCCAATCCGCTCAATCCAGATCTGTCGGATTGGCAAACAGATGTGGATTGATTTTTTCCAATTTGCCAATCTAGCAGAGGGATGGCTGATTGGAGGTTCTGTGGCTGCAACCGATCCGCGCCCACCCCTATTTCTTATATCTCTCATTTTGAGTTGCTATTTACAGTGTGTATGAGAGGGTCTGGAGATGTTGCCGAAAAATTCAAAGGTCACTGGAAAACTCACCGGAGTCTTCGAATATTCGTTGTAAAATTCAAACGTCGCTGAAAATTTCGAATTTGCTAGAAACAATGAGAGGCTTTGATTTGTCAACGGTTATAACTAGAAGCACAATAGCAAAGAGATGATGGAGATAATAAATTGTGTGAAGAAGAAGGCAAAGTAATTAAAAGGGAAATAATGACAAGGCTCTCCCATGGATCTTCCATGGATCTCCCACTTTCGCTATCAATGTAGAAAATGGAGAATGAGAACTTAGTTCTCTTTCAAAAATTGTCTCTCCAAAATTCATCCCTTGTAACACTATGGGTGGGTGCTATTTATAAGCACCTCACGATAAAGGATGGAGCCCATGTGCAATGCACATAGGGAATATTTTCTCTAACCACTTTGTTCGAAGAGGTGACTTCTCCGAGAATGAGAAAAATTCTGTAGAGGAGATCAACCTCTCGGAGAATCCTTCTTCTTAGCCACGCTAACCAATGATCCACAACCATCCCAAAGGGTCAGGAGTAATCCCAGAGGACGCCCTATCGCAAAAGGGTTAGGGGTAGTTCAAGAGAACGCCCTGTCACAAATATCGTCGAGTCTCAAGGACCCCTTAAATCGTGTTGTCTTGAACCGAGTATAGGCTAGTTTAGCCGAATAGTGGATTTATCTCTACTCATCGTCCTTGGGATCGGGTCATTTGTTCGGACTTCGTCACGCCCATGGTTTTGGTGCGTCGATCACGGAAAGCTTCGAGCCCGCAAGTGTTCTAGAACTCATTAACGAAGCGTTTTCTAGATTGCGATCGAATCCATTTGAAGCCAAACGCTTCGGATCTCTAGGTTCGTGGATCCAAACCCTTTCGAGCCTGAGCTCAATAAGTCTTTAAGTTCATGGCTCTGAATGCTTTCCACACTAAGCAAATACCTCAGAGAATGTATCTTCTCCGAGGGTTTCATCTCTTCTTAAAACAACGATTAACCTTTCCAGATGCCCGTATGATCTGGACCTCCTCGGATAGATTTGTTGGACTTTCTCTAGAGATATAAGCTCAATGAGTCTTCTTCAGCCCAATTTGTTAACTTTCTCGTGGGTCCATTCAATAGAATTCATTGAAGCCATTTGGTGATAATTTATTCGGACCTATTAATTTTTGGGTTTTTCAACTATGCTCCGATTAGATCCAATTAATTTAATGGGCTCAAGTTAATCCCTCTTACATTTTGTCCCTTGCATGTATAGAAAATTTTGAATTTCTCAAACACGCATATTTTCACTTCTTTGGCCATGCTTCGATTCATTCCCTCGAGCATGTCTTGTCTCATTCCAGCGGACATATATTAGCTTCATGTGACCTATGGATAAGATTGACAACTCATCATGATTTATGGATAAGGTTGACAATTAATAAAGATAAGAAAGAATCTTTTTTGTTCTTATGCCTTGTTTGGCAAACACACTTTCTGCGCCCTTTAATTTGTTTTCTTAAGAAAAATTAAAACTTGAATTTTTTAATATTACACCAACCAATAATACCAAGAATTAATTCTTTCATTCTCTTAAAAATAAACAGAACCCGTGTCGATTCTGATGACCAAGAAAAGAAAATTAATACTTAATTTTGTCAGAATTAATTCTTGGTATTATTGGTTGGTGGAATATTAAAAAATTCAAGTTTTAATTTTTCTTGAGAAAACAAATTAAAGGGAACAAAAAGTGTGTTTGCCAAACAAGGTATAAGAACAAAAAAAATTCCTTCTTATCTTTATTAGTTGTCAATTTTATTCATAAATCATGATGAGTTGTCAATCTTATCCATAGGCCACATGAAGATAAAAATATGTCTGAGGAAATGAGACACGACATGCCCCGAGGGAGTTAAGCGAAGCATGTCCAAAGAAGTGAAATTATGCAAGTCCAAGAAATTCAAAATTTCCCATACATGCAAGAGGTAAAATGTAAGTGGGATTAACTTGAGCCCATTAAATTAATTGGATCCAATCAGAGCCTAATTGAAAAGCCCAAAATTAATGGATCTGGAGAAATTATCACAAAATGGCTTCAAATGAATTCTATTGAATAGACCTGCAAGAAAGTTAACAAATTGGGCCGAGGAAGACCCATTGAACTTATATTTCTAGATAAAATCCAACAAACCCATCCGATGAGGTCTAGATCATACGGGCGTCTGAGAAGGTTAATTGTCTCTTTAAGAAGAGATAAAACCCTCGGAGAAGATCTATTCTTCGAGGTATTTGCTTAGTCTCGAAAGGGTTCGGAACCACGAACCTAGAGACTTATTTGAGCTCGAACTCGAAAGGGTTTGGATCCACTAACCTAGAGATTCGAAGTACTTGGCTTCGAACGGATTCAATCGCAGTCCAGAAGCCACTCCATTAATGAGTCCCAGAACACTTGTGGGGATCGACGCACCAAAACCATGGGCGTGACGAAGTCTGAACAAAGGACCCGATCCCGAGGATGGTGAGTGGAGATAAATCCACTCGTCGGTTAAACTAGTCTATACCTGGGTCGAGGTGACACAATCTAAGGGATCCCTGAGACTCGATGATATTTGTGGCAGGGCATTCTCTTGAATTACTCTTAACCCTTCTGCGACAGGGCGTCCTCTAGGACTACCCCTGTCCCTTTGAGATGATTAGGGATCATTGATTAGGCGTGACTAAGAAGAAGGGTTTGCCGAGAGGTTATCTCTTCTTCACAATTTCTTTCATCCTTTGAGAGATCACCTCCTCGAACAAAGTGGTTAAAGATAATATTCCCAATGTGCATTGCATATGGGTTCCAT